CTGGGAAGTGGAGAACTCTGGCTTGGGAGCACTATACTGCTTAGGAGCCGAAGTCTACGGGCGATGGGGCAAGCAGTGCGTCGATCTCGTCCCTGCACTGGCACAGGAACGTGGGCAAAGCTTTCAGTCCCGCATTCGCCGGGGCGTCATTCAAGGGCTGTTGCAGAGATGGTGGCGGCTGTTAGGAGTAGCGCTGCAGCGGGCCGTCGCGCATAGTGTTCTGCATGCGATTGCAGACCTGTCACTCGTGCATGCTGAGCCGTTCTCTGTGTTGACCGTGGCCGACTTGCAACTCGTCTGATCGTTTGTCAGACGGGTCATTGTAGCGCATGTGCGTGGCAGCGGGAGAAGTGGGAGTGAGCGCTGGGAGAGAACAAACATAAAAACAAAGTAAATTGGGGGCGGGTGTGTCTCGCATACCGCGAGCAAGCTGACCACGGCTCCCGTGACACAATGGCCCGGAGAGCGCCCCGGGAGGGCGCGGCAACCGTGAGGTCGTCGACGAACTGCAAGGGGGGGAAGAGGCCCGAGCCCAGACGGTCAAGCAAGTAGGCCCGATCGGCCTCGGAGGTGACTTGCGAAGCCCCTAAGGAGATTGCTTGCTCGGCCCTCGGGAAAGGCGCCTGCTCGGCCGCAGCTGCCGACGCCACCTCGACAGCTAGAGCCTCGAGGTCGCCCCCTACAGCCGGCGGCGCGGGCATCCCCGACTCGCGGGCGTCAGAAACCTGGAGCCCCAGGCAGAGCCGGCGGAGGTGGGGAGCCACCCAAGCCGCGCAACTCCCCGGGAGCACGCGGTACACCTCCTCAGCCAACCACTTGAGCTGCGCATTGAAAACGCAAACGCTAAACTTGCGGCCCTGCGCCGTGCTACCCCCAAGCGAGAACAAAGACGACACGTGGGCGCTCAATGCAATAAACTGGGAGTCTGACGAGATAAAATCATCGAGGAGAAGCCAGTCGTCATCGAGCACCCCAGCTTTTTTTTTTTTTTCCACCCCTCTTCTTTTCGGGGGGGGGGGGGCTGTCGTCGCGCAGTCGGTTGGCAAGTAATTCCTTCCTGTAGCTCTCTCTGAACTTTTGTTGGGCCTTCGTGGAGCTCTCTTGACGCCTTGGCTTTTCTGGTGCTGCCCCGGGCGGTCCCCGGCACCATCGGCCCATCGGCAGGGGATTCGTTCGACCTGGGTGCCAAATGGCGGGGATGTGTGTCATGATTTTTTGGTCACTTGGGCTTTCTCTGGGAGCGGCCTGTCTCATGTATTTTTGGAACTTCAGTGTCGCGTTGAGCTACCTCGGGCTATCGTGGACTACCTGACCTGCCCTCTTGGGGCGTTTGGGGTTTTGTGGGGGCCCGTCGGCCAAGAAGAGCTGTGTGATCGGGCTTTTTTGTCGCCCAGCGCTGCGATTGGAGCACTGACAGACAGGGGGGGGGGTGGGCCCGGCGGGCACACAGCAAGCTTTTGCGAAAGTGGTGGGCGGATGGGCAGAAGTCGCGACCAAGGGCGAACGCCCGATCTGTGACTGTTGCGCAGCGCAGTGGACGGGGAACTTTTGGCGGGTGGCCAGGCAGTTTCAAGTGCCTGCCTACTTGAAACTACAGGCACGCGTGCCCTCTACGCCGTGACACTTTGTCTTTGTGACTTGCTGGGCAAAGTGTGTATGTTTATCCAGTAAGAAAGGTGTCTCCGATTTGGTAGCGCAGCTGGCCTGCTCAGGCTGGCCGCGGCTTTCTTCGAAATTCGCTTGTCGCCCCTGATTACGCCCTACACCTGCACTGTTTCTCGGGAGGTTTCTCTCAGGAGGCCTCCCTGTGCTGTTTGTGACCGGATGGCAAGGAAACACGGGCCCCGCACGCAACCTTCATTACAGGAAAGACGTATCCAAGCCCAGCGTCACCAGGGCCGACCACGTCTTGCTCCAGTCTGCGTTTGGACCAAGGTCGGTCGACCTGGTTGTACTTTTTGCCTACTACCGAGGACCTAAAGTTCAAGTGGGCGCGCCTTCAGGCACCCTTGCGTCGGCGTTTCCTTCTCCCCCTGCCGATCCTTTCCCACTGGTGCCAGCCACGGGCGGGCTTCGCGTGACCGCGCGCCCAGCTCGACAGGCGCGAAGCTATTCGAACATGCGTGGCCGAGGGTCGCCGGAGAGGCTGGTAAGAGGGTCGTCCCTCCGACCATGGCGCGAGACACCTTCGTCGTGATCCACGCGCGACCGGCAGGTTTTCAGACAGCTTGACATTTTTTCCTTCTTCCCCACCCTTTCCTTACCCCAAGGCTGCCGCGCTCCCTTGCGGCCAGTGCGGCCCCCCCGCGCGCCCACGGTGTGTGTGGGGCGGGGGCGCGCCCCGAAGGAGCGGGGGGTTTTCGGCCGATGCCAGGGCAAGCCCGAACCTCCCGCCAGCTAGCCGCCCCGCCGGGGGCCTCCCGCTCAGCTGCCCCTAGCCCCTCGCCGCCAGCCTGCGCCTTGTGCCGCGGCGCCCGGCCCGTCGCTGCCAGTCGCCGGCCGGCCGCTCGTCGTAGCGCCGCGCCGCCGGGCCTGCCGCCGCCAGCCCGTGCCGCCGCCGCCGCCCTCGGGGCGGCGCTGGCGGCGCAGCTTTCGGCCTCCGCGCGTCCGCGCCGCCGCTGGCCGCCGCGCTTCGCCGCGGCGCCTGGCCCGTCGCCGCCTGATGCGGGTCGGCCGCAGGCCGCCGCGCCTCGCCGCCGGGCCTGCCGCCGCTAGTCGTCGCGCCCGCCGCTGCAGGTCGCTGGGCAGAGGGTTGTGGTCTAGGAGGGCTGAATCCTCCCCCCTCTGCCCGTGAACGAACCTGCGGCCGCGTCCCGCCTGCGCCGCGCCGCGGGGTCTGCCGCCGCTGGCCGCCGCCGCCGCCTCCTTCCGCAGCGTTCGCGCCTGTCCTCGGGGTGGCGCCAGCGGTGGTGCGTTCGCCCTCCGCGCTGCCGCGCTGCCTCGGGCCAGCGCCAGCGTCTCCTCCGCCGCCTCCGCCGCCGCCGCCGCCGCCTCCTCCTCCTCCTCTGTGGTGCGTGGTGGTCCTCCTGGTCGTGGTGGTGCTGGTCGTGGTGGTGCTGGTCGCCGTGGTGGTGCGGGTCGTAGTGGTGCTGGTCGCCGTGGTGGTGCTGGTCGCCGTGGTGGTGCTGGTCGTGGTGGTGCTGGTCGTGGTGGTCCTCCTGGTCGTGGTGGTGCTGGTCGTGGTGGTGCTGGTCGCCGTGGTGGTTCTGGTCGTAGTGGTGCTGGTCGCCGTGGTGGTGCTGGTCGCCGTCGTGGTGCTGGTCGTGGTGGTCCTCCTGGTTGTGGTGCTGGGCGTGGTGGTGCTGGTCGCTGTGGTGGTGCTGGTCGCCGTGGTGGTGCTGGCCGTGGGCGTGTTGGTGCTGGTCGTGGTGGTAGTGGTGGTGGTCCTCTGGCCGTGGTCGTGCATGTCGTGGTGGTGGTGGTGCTGGTCGTGCTGGCCGTGGTCGTGCTGGCCGTGGTCGTGGTGGTCGTGGTCGTGGTGGTCGTGGTGGTCCTCCTGGCCGTGGTCGCGCTGGTCGTGGTGGTGGTCGCCGTGGTGGTGCTGGTCGTGGTGCTGGTCGTGGTGGTTCTCCTGGTCGTGGTGGTGCTGGTGGTGGTGCTGGTCGCTGTGGTGGTGCGTAGTCGTGGTGCTGGTCGCCGTGGTGGTGCTGGTCGTGGTGGTGCTGGTCGCCGTGGTGGTGCTGGTCGTGGTAGCCCTCCTGGTCGTGGTGGTGCTGGTCGCCGTGGTCGTGCTGGTCGCCGTGGAAGTGCTGGTCGCGGTGGTGGTGCTGGTCGCCGTGGTCGTGCTGGTCGTGGTGGTGCTGGTCGTGGTGGTCCTCCTGGTCGCTGTGGTGGTGCCGGTCGCCGTGGTGGTGCTGGCCGCGGGCGTGGTGGTGCTGGTCGTGGTGGTGGTGGTCGTGGTGGTCCTCTGGCCGTGGTCGTGCTGGTCATGGTGGTGGTGGTGCTGGTCGTGCTGGCCGTGGTCGTGGTGGTCGTGGTCGTTGTGGTGCTGGTCGTGGAGGTGGTCGTGGTGCTCCTCCTGGCCGTGGTCGCGCTTGTCGTGGTGGTGGTCGCCGTGGTGGTGCTGGTCGTGGTGGTCCTCCTGGTCGTGGTGGTGCTGGTCGCCGTGGTGGTGCGTAGTCGCGGTGCTGGTCGTGGTGGTGGTGCTGGTCGCCGTGGTGGGGCTGGTCGCCGTGGTGGTGCTGGTCGTTGTAGTCCTCCTGGTCGTGGTGGTGCTGGTCGTGGTGGTGCTGGTCGTGGTGGTGCTGGTCGCTGTGGTGGTGCCGGTCGCCGTGGTGGTGCTGGTCGTGGTGGTGCTGGTCGCCGTGGTGGCGCTGGTCGCCGTGGTGGTCCTCCTGGTCGTGGTGGTGCTGGTCGAGGTGGTGGTGCCGGTCGCTGTGGTGGTCCTCTGGCCGTGGTCGTGGTGGTGCGGGTCTTGGTGGTGGCGGTCGTCGTGGTGGTCCTCTGGCCGTGGTCGTGCTGGTCGTGGTGGTGGTGGTGCTGGTCGTGCTGGCAGCGGTCGTGCGGGCCGTGGCCGTGGTGGTGGTCGTGGCGGTCCTCCTGGCCGTAGTCGCGCTGGTCGTGGTGGTGGTCGCCGTGTTGGTGCTGGTCGTGGTGGTCCTCCTGGTCGTGGTGGTGCTGGGCGTGGTGGTGCTGGTCGCCGTGGTGGTGCGTAGTCGTGGTGCAGGTCGCCGTGGTGGGGCTGGTCGCCGTGGTGCTGGTCGCCGTGGTGGTGCTGGCCGTGGTGGTGCTGGTCGTGGTGGTCCTTCTCCTCCTCCTCCTGGTCGTCGTGGTCGTCGTCTTGCTGGTGGAGGTGCTGTTCGTAGTTGTGCTGGTGGTGGTGGCGCTGGTTGTGGTGCTGTTCGCAGTAGCTCTGCTGTCGGCGTTCCTGCGAGCTGCTGTGCCCCGCCATGCCCGTGCGCGCCCCCACGCGGGGGCCGGTGCTCTCAGGGGAGCGCCGACAGAACGTCCTCTCGCCAGGGATTTCCCCCGTCTGTCGCTAGCGTCTCAGAGGGCACGTCCTCGAGCAGGCTCGCGGCCAGGGCGTCGTGGATGGCGCGCGCCAACATGCCGCTCCACCTGTGCAGCAGTGCGGTCGTAAGCGATCCTCGCAGCGCCGCTGGCGCGCTCCTCGCCTGGGCGCGGGCCAGGGTAACGAGGAGCTTGTACGCCTCCTCGTCCCAGCGGCCGCCCGTCTCTGCTCCGGCTACGAGCAGGTAGCCCCGCCGCGAGCCCACCAGCTCAGGGTAAGTCGTTTGTTGCGGCGCCTCGCCCGTTTCAGCGCGAGTCCTGGGCGGAGCCTCCGCGCAATCGGCCTGCCGGTGGCCCTCAGCGGGGATACGACGCAGGCGTCGATGGCGAGCTGCCTGCCGTGGTAGGCAGGGAGGCCGTTAGCCGCCACCTCGATGCGGCGCCCGTCGTTGGCGGCAATGCCCGGGAGGTTCATGTCGCGCAGGAACACGTCGGTGCGGACACGGCCTCCTGCCCCCCGGCACACCCGGGCCCGCATCCGCTCGATGGGAGCGCCGCGCTTCAGCAGGCGTCCGCTGCGGGGGCAAGTTGCTCTGTGGTCGCCTCTCTCGTCCAAGTGGGCCTGGCAGGAGCGCCCGTTGCACCTGCTTGCCGTGGCGTCCAGCGGCGAGCGGAGCCGTCTCTGGAGCAGTGCCCGGAAGCGCTCTGGCGTGAACGTGTTTTATGGCGTCGAGGGGATCAGGGCCAGGTGCCGTCCGCCGCAGCGGCCTCCCTGCGAGTCGAGCATCCACTGCTGGTCGTCTGTGAGGCTCGGGGGAACGACCTCCTCCCTGTAGCGCCGCTCTCGGGCTGCTGAGGCGTGGTGCTGCCATCCGTGCTTCCGCTCACCCGGCTCTGGCTCTGTCTGTTCAGGGCGCGCGCCGCCCCAGACCTCCTGCCAAGTTGGGCACGTCGCAAAGCCGTCGCGGGCGGCGGGCACTCAGCTTCCTGGAGGCGCGAGGCTGCGGCGCCTGTCCCGGCGCGGAGGGTGGCGGTGAGCTCCGCTGCTGCTGTAGGGTTTCTTTGTCGCAACATGGGGGGCGCGTCCGCCCAAGACGCCCAGTGCGCGCACTGGGCCGCGCGCGCGGCTGACCTGAGTCCAAGGCCTCCGAGGCCGAGCGGCAGCGAGCTCACTCGGAAGAGCCTCTCTGCTTCAGCTGGCGCGGGGTCGAGGTCGAGGAGGTCGTGCAGCGCCTCCAGCAGCTCGCGGTCGTGGGCCTCGGCGTCGGACCGCGACAGCGTCGGAGGCAGCTTGCGCAGGACGTGGTTGCACCTTGGCGCCGCGCAGTACAGCATGAACGCCCAAGCGCACTTAAGGTCTGGCAGGTTGGGGAGTTCTCGTAGGAAGCTGCGCTCCTCGTCCGTCCTCTGCTGCGTCAGCCGGGCCGCGAACGTCGCGGTGCCCATGGGCGTGCCCAGTACCTTGAGGCCGCGGTGCTCCTCAGGCGTGCCGGCGCCGCCAACCCGCACGTCTGGGCCCAACGACAAATGCCCTGCTGGTTCGAAGCCGCCCCGGTTCCACATGCGGCACTTGCCGAGGTTCGCCTCGATCCCTGCCCACTCGCGCATGGCAGCGGTAACCGCGCGGAAAGCCTCTGTGGCGCGCTCTGGTCTGCAGACAATGTAGACGTCGTCCAGGTAGGCGATCAGCGTCTCGCCTTGCTGAAGCTGCGCGCGGGCTCTCTCCAGGGCGCCGTGCTGAGCCAGGGAGTACAGCGCCGGCATGAGCGGGTCGCCTTGCTCTCCGCCTTCTCCCTGCCTCACCTCGTGCGCGACTCCTGCATCGTCTGTCCAGAGGTACGTCGACGGCTGGCCGTAGGAGAGCAGGACGAATCGGGCCATGGCGGAGGCCTCCGGCAGCGAGAGGAGCTTCTCGATCATGCGGTCGCGGCGCACGTGGTCGAAGGCCGAATGCCGTCGATGCTGACGATGGTCGCCGCGGGGTCGGAGTCCGTGGCCGCTCGGAGGAAGTGGGCGGCGCTGTCTGCGCCCGCTCTCGTCGACAGCGCGTACTGGAACGGCGCGCAGGCGTCGTCCATCTCGGACCCATACTGCCAGGAGAGGGCCTTGCCCACGAGCCGGCGGAAGGCGTCGCCTGCAACAGTGCCTCGCGCGCGGCCCTTGTCCTTCCGCAGCGCCGTCATGCGGCCTGTGCCCAGGGCGCGGGCAACGCTCGCTGCGATCTCGGCCCGCGCGTAGCGCTCCGCCACGGCAGCTTGCAGCTCGAGCGTCTCGTCTTCGTCCAAGGCTAGTCCAAGGCCAGCTTGAGCAGTTCAAAGCTGGTTCCGCTCAGCGAGCTGGAAGACCCTTTCGGGGCAGAGCGGACGCAGTCGGTGCAGATGCGGCGGTCGAGTTCGACGGGCCGAGCCGGCTGGAAGGCTCGGGCGGCTGGCGGCAAGTCGGCGGCGGGCCTCGGCGGTCGCCGGGCGGGGTCCCGCAGTTCTGCCAAAGTCTCCGCCGTGCCCGGCGCCAGCCCGCGCGAGGCGAGCAGCTGCCGCGCCTTGCTGAGGCCTCCTGCTCTGACCAGCGCCACCGCGTCTTCCAGGACGCGCTGGCGCCTCGCCTCGGCGTCGCCCGCGCCGCGCGCTCCTCCCGGGGGGCCGCTGCCCTTGCAGGCTTGGGGCCAGCAGCGCTTCCCAGGAGCCGTCCTCGAACTGCTCCAGTCGCGCTTCGAGCTTTCGCCGCCTTGGCGCCCCAGTGCTCGCGGTCCGTCGCAGCAGCGTGCGCCATATGAGAACCAGGAGCTTCCAAGCCCTCACCTTCTGCAGCCCGTCGGCGTTGCCAGGAAGGGCGTCTGCGCGCAGGACCTCCTCGAGGACCGTGTGGTAGAGTTGGCGAAGGCGGCCGCGGAGGACAGCCGGCGGCGCCCGGATGCACGGCGCCCGCCGGCGCAGTTCGGCCTCCAAGTCCACTGCGTCAAGAAGCGCCCAGGCGGCGTCGGGGAAGGCAGACTGCGCCGGGCGCCGGTTTCGTCGCCCGCCTCCACCACTGCGCGGCGGCGTTGGCGCAGGCGGCGCCGCTGGCGCAGGCGGCGCGGGGCCGGCGCTGTCGCAGGCGCTGTCGCTCTGGCTGTGGCTGCCCTCTTCCTCGCTGCTCTCGTCGTCGTCGCTGCTCGGGTCTCCTCTGCCGCCTGCTCGCCCTCCTGCCTCCTTGGGCGCCTCTGCCCCCTCTGCCTCCTCCAGCGCCTCTTCGTCCTCTGGCTCCTTTTGCGCCTCTCCCTCCTCTGCCTGGTGCGGCGCTTCCCTCTCCCTCCGCCGCCGCGGGCGCTGGCTGCGGCTCCTCCTCGGCGCGTCTTCCGCGCGCGCCTGGCGGGCCCGGTGCCCCTGGCCCTGCTGCCGGGGCGGGTCTTGGAGGCAGCCCGCGCGCAAGCCATTCCCTGTAGGCATCAGCCTGCACCTCCGCAGCGCGGATGAAGTCCACCCCCCCGAAGATCTGCATCGCGATGTCCTGGGCGATCGGCTGCGCGTATCCTCTGTCGTCGGCAAGGAGCCCTACCACCGCTGGCAGCCCCAGTTGGCCCCCGTGCAGCCCGTCTCCGAGAGCCTGCGGCAGCAGGGGGCCCGCTGCGCGGAAGGCGGACACGTCGGCGGGCGGCCTCTCTCGGAGGAGCGCTGCGGCGTTCTCCCACCAGTGTGCTGCGGCAGGGTGCTGTCGCCACGCGGCGGCTTCCTGCCCGTCAAGCTGGCCCGCGGCGTCCAGGAGGAGCGGCACATACATCCAGGAGTTAAGGTAGCGGCTGGTCTTTGCAGCGTGTCGTGGAGGCGACCAGCAGCTGAACTGGGTTCGTGGGCCGTCCGCCGCCGGTGGGTCCGGGGCCCCGCCTCCTGCTCCTGGCTCTGGCGGCCGTTCTGGCAGTGTGGCCCCTGGCTCGGGCAGCGCTGTGGCGGCGCAGCTTTCGCAGAGCCACTCTCCCTGCCACCTCCACGGCCCGCCGGCGTCCCCGCTGGCCTGGGCGACCCACTCGACCTGCCCTGGCTGGCCGCAAGGGCGCCGCGGCGGCCTCTCGCCTAGCGGCGGCGGGGCCTCGCTACCGAGAGGGGCGACGTCGCAGGCGGCGCATTCCCAGCTGCCCGTCAGCCCATCTGGCCCGCGCGAGTGCCGCCATCGCAAGGGTCGCCCCGGGTGGCGCGGGCGCATGGCGATCGCGTGCGGTGCCGGCCCCTCCGGCAGCACGACGGGCCCCCCTCCGTGCCGGTTGGCCCGCTCCTCGTCGGAACTCGGGTCGCCTGCAATTCCCCGGCAAGGCAGGCAGCGGCACCCTCGGAATGGGGGCCCCCCGCCGCGCCCAAGGTGGCCCGCCAGCTCCGCGAGCCGCGCGGCAGAGTTCGGGCCGTCGCCCCACCTGTGGTTGCAGAGTGGGCACGCTGCGTCCTCTACCCGGCTGGAATCGCCGCCCGAGTTCCGCAGGTGTGCGAGTCCGCGGCGGAGAGGGCGAAACCGGGCCAGGCAGGCCGCGTGGAAGCAGTGCGGGACGTGGCCGCAGTCGGGCCATAGCACCCTCGAGTCGTCGAGCGGCTCCTGGCACATGTAGCAAACCTCGCTGGCCTCTGGCTGTTCCGGCTCCGGGGGGTCTGGCCCCTGCTGCGGTTGCTGCGGCTGTTGCTGCTTCTCGGCCGCCGCGCGTTCGGCTGTCTCCCGCGGCGGCGCGAGCAGCCCAGAGAAGTCCCATCCGGCCGCAGGCGCCTGTCCGAACACGGCGCTAAAGTGGCTCTGTCCGGCAGGCAGCGGCGTCAGAGACCGGCCCGGCGAACCGAAGAGCTCTCGAGGGGGAGTCTCGGCTTCCGCCGGCCGGGGCGCGGATTCGCCCGAAACCCAGCCCGCTGGCTCGGGCAGGTCCGCTTGCGAGCGTCCGCGCGGCGGCGTGGCTGGGGCAGCGCCGTTGTGCGGTGGCCCTGGGTGGCTCGCCTCGCCCACGCGCTGTCCGCGGTAGCCGTGCAGCGCGTCTCGCTGGTCCCTCCCTGGTGTGCGCATGTCGTGGTACTGGTGGTGCTGCCAGTGCCACTCCTGGTGCTGGTGCTGGTGGATGCGCTGCCGGTCGCTGTTGGGCGCTGTCGTGGCGGTGGTGTCGGTGTTGCAGCTGGTCGCTGTCGTGGTGGTCGCTCTCGTCGTGTGCGCGGTCGTTGAGAGCCGCCGCCTGCTGCCATGGCTGTGTGCTGACTGCCGTCGCTCTGGTCGCCGCGGGACTGCCTGCCCTCGCGCGCTCCTCCCTTAACCTCCCCCTGAGACTTCAGAGTCCCTCCAAGAATACGTTCTTCCTGAGATCTCGAAGTCAATCCGGGAGTCTGGGTCAGTGCGGCGCTGGGTGGTGCTCGTGATGCCGGTGGTGCTGCTGGTGGCTGTCGTGGCGGTGGTGCTGTCGTGGCGGTGGCGGTTGTTTTTCGCCGTCGTGGCTGTGGCGATGCTGCTGGTGCTGCTGGTGCTGCTGGTCGCCGTCGTGGTGCTGCTCGTTGCTGTCTTGGTCGCCGTCGTGGTGGGCGCCGTGGCGGGCGCCGTCGTAGTTTTCCTCCGCCTGTGGCCACAGTTGGGTGCTGGCTGCTGTCGCTCTGGTCGCTGCGGTGCTGCCTGCTCTCGCGGCGCCCTTGGCGAAAGTGCGCTCTGGTCACGAGCGGCGCGCCCTCGCCGACCCCCGCCCGCGCCATCTCTCGGTCGTCGTCGTCGTGGTTGTGCTGCTGCTTGTGGCGCCACTGTTGGGAGTCGTACCGCCTCTTGTGGTCGAACATGTTGTCGCGTTGCTCCTGTGGGCTTGCTGCGCAAGCCGGGGCGCCGCCGGGGACCGCAGCGGAGCCGCGCGAACCCCGATGGGGAACTGGCCCCAGGGGGGTCCTACCGTGGGAATGGGGCTCTTCCCCCGGGGGGCACGGGCTGCAGCTGACGCCAGCCCCCTCCCTCGGAAAGGGGCTGGAGGGCGGGCGGCCAGACGGCTGGAATGGCCGTCTGGGGTGGCGGAGGGCCCTGCTGGCTGCCGCTGCTGCTGCTTTCGCTGCTGCTTTTGCTGCTGCTGCTGCCAGGGGGCTGCAGTCCGCAGTCGTTGGCTGCGTGCTGTGGTGCTGTGGTGGTGCTGATCGTCACTGTGGTGCTGGTCGTTGGGTGCGTGCTGTGATGCTGGTCGTTGGTGTTGGTCGCTGTGGTGCTGGTCGTTGTGGTGCTGTGTGCTGCTGCTGCTGCTGCTGCTGCTGCTGCTGCTGCTGCTGTGTTGGTCGCTGTCGCGCTGGTCGCTGTGGTGTTGGTCGTTGCTGTGGTGCTGGTCAATATCGCCGCCGTGGTGCTGGTCTGGGTACTGTGTGCTGCTGGCGTGGTGTTGCTGGTCTCGTGGTCTTTCCCTCAGTAGTCGCTGTGGTGTTGCTGGCTGTGCTTGCTGCTCATGGGGCTGCTGGTCGCCGCCGCTGTGTTGCTCGTGGTGCTGCTGCTGGCCGCGGTCGTTGTCTTCGTTGTGGTGCTGGTCGTTGGGTGCGTGCTGTGGTGCTTGTCGGTGGTGCTGGTCGCTATGGTGCTGGTCGCTGTGGTGCTGTGGGCTGCCGCTGTGGTGCTGGTCGCTGTGGGCGCGTGCAGTGGCGCTGGTCGTTAGCTGC